AAGAAAAAAAATAAAAAGAAAATCAGGAAATGTTTAACATTATTTTTTCATGGGAGCCATTACCGTAACGTCACTCCAGGAAAAGTGCAGTGGGATCAAACAGCTTTTTACAGGTAAATTGAGTGAAATTCTGCCAAAACTGCCTGGTGGAAGGCATTAGCAGACCCAGAGGGTCTGTGCACCTGGGCCTGGCATGCTGTCCCGTGTGCAGGAGTTCACTGGGACTGGGGCCAGGCACAAGGTCTGGAGATGAGTCTGGGGCTGCAGAGCTCTCACTTATCCCTCAGGTGCCTCTGCTTCCTCAGTGAGATGGGTGTTACCCCCAGGTTGCAGCCTCATGTATTTTTGGTCAAATTTTCATCATGTCTGTAAAAACATAATTTTAAAAAAATGAATATAAAGGTATACATTCCATTTTATCTGTCTGCTTTCCTTCATCTTGGGGAAAGGAGGGGAGCTGCTTGGTAGTTAAACATTTACCCACTAGCAAAGGTTGGTAAACTCTGTCACAAACAGTATGCAAACAGGGACACCTGCCTTGCAGCATGCTGAGGGTCACCCCCTTGCTATGCTGCTGATTTAATTCAGCTCCTCTGCTGCTCCTGCCCAGCAGTGCTCCCACAGTTCTGTCCCCAGGTCTTCTCTGGCTGGTGCTGTGAGCTGTATTAATTCATAATTGACATGACTGGGTAAGGCTGCTGAGGCTTACAGCTCTTAGCATGGGGGTGGAACCTTTGCAGTCAGCAGAACAGCCAGGACACACACTCACACAAGCAATGCTGTGCAAATGCAGAGAAGTTCATGAGGCTGTGGACAGGAGAGAAAAGCAGGAATTTCAAGCACTTCTCAGTTTCTAAGCTCCCTGATCTATGCTCCTACAAAAGATGCTGAAGGTCACCTGACATACTGCATCCATAACACCATATCACCTTGCAAAGAACCTATTTTTTAGAAACACTTGTTTTGCTTCACCCACTTTCAAGCTTGTGATTATTTTCCGATTTTTTTCTCTGAAACGACTTCACGCTTTTGTGTACATGTGTGAGAATATTTATTCCTCTGATGATATCAATTATTTCTACAATTGAAATTTCAACTCTAAGTCTGTTCTACTTAATAACACAGTTTTTCTGAATTGTGAGCGAGCTCAGCTAACTAACCAGGCTTTTCAGTGCTGCAGTCTTTCCAGATTAGATGATGCTTCAGTCACAGCTCTATTTTTTTCAAAACACTATTAAGAGGCTGTTTTGAGACACATAGAAAGATGTCCCTTAATTTCAGAGACTTCTTAACTTCTTTCCCTGTCTGCCTTTTTTTTTTTTTTTTTTTCTTCTTAACTTCTTTCCCTGTCTGCCTTTTTTTTTTTTTTTTTTAAGAGTGTAATCATTTACTCAATGAAAAAAGCCATTTCTTTCCTCCACAGAGGATTGCGGAGAACCTGAGACCCCTTTGTTTATGATATGTGAAAAATTTATAGCAAAACAAATGAGGAATCACTCTGAACTTGACTGACTTCAGCGGCTGTTGGTGGAATTACAGTTCTCCCAGAGCATTTGGACTGTGAAGGACTGGGGCCTCTGAGAGCTATTCCTCTCTTCTAGACCTGTAATGCTTAAGATTTTCATCTAGGATCTATAGCAGCTTTCTAGCATATTGCCTTAATCACATATTCTTATTTCCATTCTAATTGTGAGAATAATATCCCACCAACTCGATGAGAAAGCTGGAAAAGCCTTTGGATTACCGTGTCAATTAATTCAATGCCACATGGTACTAATTGTACACTGTCTTCTTGTACTCTGCAGCAGCTAGAAGTAGCATTTGCTGTTGATATAGCCATAACAACATTGTGTTCATATTAGTAATTTACATTTACATAAAGCACATGAGGAAAACAGATAATAAATATTATTTACAGATTTTTCTGATTACAGGATTACTGCCACGTCTGGCAGTAAAACCTATTAAACTCCTACTGCTGTCACTCGAAGACATTTTCTGGTACTTGAAAAAGGAAAGCGCTCAGTGTTAGTAGCATGAGGTTAAGCCTCGCACATTACATATATGACACGTAAATATTAATTCAAGGATGAAAGCATTCAGCTGAACAGGAACCATCTGGAAGAATGAGGAGGGTGGATGAGAATGCATTAATTGCAACACAGCGTGTATAAGTTGGAAATCCATGGACCTGCTTTGCACAAAGAGCCTTCTTCTCACATTGAAAATCACAATACATTTCTAACTCCTCCTTGGACATACCTGCCGTCTAACCTCTGTTTGCCCCAGCGGGGATAGCAGGGTGGCATTGTGGAGTGATAGTAATAGTTTCCTGTCAGGCCAGCACTTGCAATCTCTGGCTCCAAACCCCTGGATTTGCCTCATGTAAAAAACTTTTAAGAGTAATAATGTTTATAAGAATTATATAATTATTTAAAAACTATTTACAAAGAAACCAAACATGAGATGTTAGCATGCCACACACTCGACCTGAAGTCTCTGCTGCTTTCACTGGGGCTGGACTCTGAAAGGTGAGTAGGACTGTTTCAAATACCTAAGCACCTACCTCCCAACTCCTAGTATTTTCAAGACAAATTAGGTACCAATATTACTTTAAAAATCTTAATTTTTAGTAGCCTCAATTTCTCTCACGATTAATTTGAAGTTAAATGTTTTGCTCTTCCCGAGCAGGCATGATGGGAAAGGCAGATAAAGAAGGAGAGTTTTATATGATGACAAATTCAATCCAGTGAAACTTTGGCCTCTTACTTGTAGTTGGATGCAAGGAGGAATGAATGTGAGTGCACAGGGTCACCATTTCACAGATTCATATTCTATGATTTGGAACACTGTCAAGCTAGTATAGCTTACAATAACCTAAATCATTTAGGTTCCCTATTGCTGACCAGATACACTACACCTACAGAGAAGCACAGAAAGGGAATGTATTTTTGTGTTGCTTAAGCCACAGATCCTATTCAGCCATTAGCATGTAAATTCCTTGTCATCCCAATTGCTAAACAGCTGTGTGGTATTAATTGGGAAGCAATTCTGTCATACCAAAAGCTGTTCTTTCACAGGAGATGTGGGGTTTGCCATAAAATTCCTGATGGCTTTGAACAAGCCACTTAATTTGTGTTTTCCTCTGTAAAATGAAAATATATTTTTGCTTTCTCCTATTGCTTCTGGCTTTTGTTTTCAAGCTGTCATCTCAGGGAAAGATGCTTTCTTTAGATAGAAATCTAAATACAAGTGCCTCATTCGATTTGGCTTTGTGGTGCAAGTGTAATTCGATTAATTACCGTAAGAAATATGAACCTAGTAAGGGTTATGCCCAGGATAATAAATACATAATTCCAGGGACAACCTGTGGCATATTTCTCTGCTGACAGCTATCCTGCCTCTGTTACACTGTGCATCTGCTTTTCCTCCCAGAGGAATGCATTCAACACTGCTATGGTGATTGCAGTCATGCCCCCACTCAGAAGCCTTTCTGCAGATGTCTCTTCACAGACAGCCTGAGTTTCAGACTGACCAAAACCACAAGACAGAAGAGAATCTCACCAGCTCTGTGCATGCAGCCTCTAAAGTATAGTTAAACCCACAAGGTTTCTGAACTGCTCTAGTCTGAACCACTGATGGATATTACTTGCGTTCCCACTAGGTCTACCAGATGCTCAGGCTTTGCAGTGACATCCCTAACCCGTGCCGAAGGAATCATCCTCCATCCTGCTGCAACACCCCAGCGGGACCGCGACCCTCACCCCCGGCTTTCTACCGCTGGCACTGCTTGCACCACAAAGCCACCCGCTGCCTCTGGCCTGCCAGTACTGCCAGAGACAACCCCGGCTCCTGCGGCCCCGACTCCTCGGGGAATGCAGAGCTCAAGGGGAGAACGGACGCTCCAGACGGGGGGGGAATTGGAAGTGCTGGGGCTGACTCGATAGGAACGGAGCGCGCCCCTCGGCCATCCCCACCTCCCCCCCTTAAAAGCGCCTGCTGGGCTCTCCAGGGCGCAGTGGACGCTTGGTTTGGAAAGGACGAGCAGCCACGAAGGGCGATGAGCTCAGCTGGCCCCGTCCTGTCGCTCCCCGCCGCCCGGCTGCCGGCCCGTCGCTCCCGGGAGGTGGCAGTGTTCCCCCATGGAAGCTCCAGCCCAGCACCGCTCCGCTGCCAGGCCGGCAAGGAGCCTCTTTCATCTCCCTCTCACTCGTTTTCCGCTCATTTACGGGCAATGGATTTATCGCGCGTGATCTGATCTGTAATAGCCCCACTGGGGGCTTTTTCTCTTGCCGGCGAGAAAGTTGCGAAGTGCCGCAGCACAGCCGGAACGCCGGGATTACGGAAAGCGGTCGCGATCACGGCACACGTTCTTATACACGTGTATACGCATGAATGTCTATACACTATATAAATGTATTTCAATATACACATATAGGTCTAGACGTGAGGCAGTGGATCTCCAAGCACGGCCACAGAGAAGCGTTTAACCGCGGTGCCATTTACATTTTGTTCGTATATTTGGGAGAGGTTGGTGGAAACACAGGTGGATGCGTGCCGGCTATCCATGTACTACCCCGTACCCGCACACGCTCCCGGGCAATGACTCTAGTCCCTTCAAATCCTCGCTCCTAGGGGACAGGTGCGGGATTCAGGCCCCGTTGGCCAGAGCCGCTCGCGGAGGTGCTGCAGCTCGGAGGGTCGTTAGAACATCCTCGGACACGCAGCGGTTTGTGACGGACCGGCCGCCCCTCACAGCTCCACCGCAAGTTTCTCTTCCCCCATGACCCGCTCCGGCTCTTTATCAAAAGCCTCCTTCCCTTTCCTGCAGGGACCGTCGCCTGTCCGCACCCTCCACCACGTCCCTTTGAGCGCTGCCCGGCGGACAGGGACCGCAGCATCCCCGCCGGGACACCGTCCCGCATCCCGGCTCCTGGCGGCGGGGTTCCGCCCCGACGGCAGCGGCCGTGGGCTGCGGGGCGGGGCAGGGCGGCACTCACCTGACAATGACATACATGACCAAGAAGTTGCCGAAGAGCCCCACGACGCAGACCACGGAGTAGAGGGCCATGATGGCGATGGCGGTGACCACGGAGGGGCCGCCGCCCGCGGGCGCGCAGGGCCCGCCGTTCGCGCTGCCATTGCCGCCGCCGCAGGGCTCGGAGCGGTTCCAGCCCAGCGCCGCCGAGGCGTTGCCCCAGGCCGGGCAGGGCGGCCCGGGCGGGCGGCAGGCGGAGGCGTTGGCGGCGAACGGGACCTCCAGGGCTCCGGCGAGCAGCGGCGCGGACCCGTTGCCCAGCAGGTAGGCGACAGCCATGGCGCGCAGCGGCGTCAGCGCGGCCACCCGCTCCCCGCGCCCGAGGAACGCCCGGCACGCCGCGATGCTGCCGCCGTGTCGGGAGGCGACGGCGCCCGCCCGCCCCGACGGCGCGCTCCGCCGCTGGGTGCGGGCACATGTGTGCGGCGGGCGGGGCGGGCCGGGAGGAGGGGCCGTGCTCGCAGGAGCGGCGGGAGTCGCCTCCCCGCGCCCGCCGCCCGCCGCTGCTCCTCCCCGGCCGGCCGGGCGCGGTGGCGGCCGCCCCCAGCGGCGAGCGGGGCGCACCTGCGGGGGGGCAGCGAGCGGTGTCACTTGAAGGCAAAGCGCTTAAAATGTTCCCTTCCCCAGCGCCACGGGCATTGGGGACAAACACCGGAGAGAGGGAACGGGGGGAGACTGACTTGGCGAGATAAAGGCAGGTGCAGAGATCAGTGCGCCACTGATTATCGTAGTGAGACAAGGATCTTGGCAAAACCATGTCCGCAGTGATTATAGAGATAACAGAACCTTAAGAAACCCTAATAAAATGTGATGAACTTTACGGCAGCACTTTGGGAGGGGTGGTTGTGAATAGAATTGCCCTTTGGAAATGACTCGGATCTCATGCATCCTCAGGATTTTCAGAAGACCTTCTGTTCAGAGATCCAAGGATGTTCTCCCCCAGATGTTGGTGTGATTGTTATCGGATGTGATAACACAGATAAGAACGACATCAAAACTGTTCTCTTGAGCTGTACACTCATTGTTACTGGGTGCTTATTTCACACACCGTTTGTTTGCGCCAGCACCTTTTCATGGTCAGTTGTTCTAAATGAGTACAGAGGTGCAAGACTGCCTGATGGCTGATTATTAGGACTTACCTCATTTACTGTCTCACTAATGAAACCAGAAGAGATCCCTGGTAAGGCAGAAAAAATATCTCCTGGTGAACAGGAAAGTGACAGAGTAGCTGTGATTGCTCCTGCTGCCTCATCATGGATGCATACTTAATCTGCTCACCCTGTGCAGAGCACCTCCTGCAATTTCAAGAGTGGTAATGGCAAAAGTGGAGAAGAAATAAGTTCTAACTTAAGAGAAAGGTGCAGAATCCCGGGCATTTTAGTCTAAGGATTACCTATGTGCTTGTGCCACAAGCAATGGGAACCACTGCTGCTCAGGGCAGGTACCAGTAGTGGAATTGACCACACAATCTTTCGATGTATATCTGATAATTGGTGGGGAGGAAGAAGAGGGAGAGGGAAAGGGGTGTCACTGGACTTTGAGAGGGATATAGATCTGGAGAATTTGTGTTCATTTTTTTCATTCTAAAGTGAAATGGAAGGAGAAGAATGAGTAAGCTATTAATGTGCACTTTCAGTAGATAGCATGTATTGCTTCATGGCCAGAGTGAGTATTTTCAGCATCCTTCATTGGTAAGAGAGGGCCATTTAGCATTGCATTTAGGGAGAGCTTTAGAATAGGGGTTGTTTTGTGTCTGGAAAAAGCTGTGGACAAGGGGAAATGAAAGCAAGAACTCAAGAGATTTTACATGGTCAAGGACACTACCTCTTTATCCCCTTCTGAAGGATAGCATGTATAGTAATACACAGAGCAGGGGGAACAAGGCTTTAAAACTGGGGCTTTCTCAGAGACTTTCATCTCTGGGTATGTGCACAGAGTGTGGGAGCCTCTCTCTGTGCTTGGCCTTTGTTGCACCAAGGCCATCAGAAGAGTTTAATGTAAGCCTGTACAAAATTAGTATTTAGCCCTTTGAACACAACTGTGCCTGGCTGTGGAAAGGATGGAGAAGATGGGGAACAAAAATCAAGGCTGCCAGGAGATCCACTGCATATCTTGTGTCATTGCCAGATTTGTATCATTTTCACTATCAAAAGACCCTTTTGTGTATTAAAAATTACTTTAAAATTACATTAAAATGTCTTTAAAAAAACCCCTTAAAAACAGATGCCCAGGTAAATGGAATGCTATACACAAGCCTTTATGACTGTTCACAGAAAAGTGATTACACACACAAAAAAATTATTATGCCCAAATAAATCAACCTTTTGGCAGGTGCAGATGAAAACTTAAGATGCAGAGAGAGCTGGCAAAAAGCCCTGGGAGTTGAGCTTGTTTAAGACAGGCCTCATTAAGCAAAATTTCAAGGCAGGGGAGTGATAGTTGCACCTCTTTGCAAAGTTCTTGTAAGTGTTATTTTGCAAGGACATAGGCAATGTGAAATAAATCTTTAGAATATTGCTTTCAGATGGTAAAGGTCTTTTAGGTATAATAATGTATGAGAGACCCTTTCTTCAAATAATTTCAGATAATACAGGACTGTGTAGTCAGGATTCTGGTGAAAGGGTGTTTGTGAAGCTGAAGATCTTGTTGATAGTAGTTCAGCTTTTTCCTTCTTCAGAGAAAATAAGCAGTCTTGATCATTTGTAGTATTTCTATATTCACAGATCACCTGGGTCCCCTTCCTAGTTTGTGACAGTGACTCTGCAGATAAGGGCAATCTGCAGAGTGGCAAATACTATATCCATTAGTTGAAAATAAGTACTTTAAGTTTCATCATCTCTGAGTTCTTCTGCCCTTGTAAAAAATAAAATGTGTCTTCAAAGTTTAATAAATGTAGCTATAAGTGATAGCTTTTGTGTTCGCATAACAAGTCTGAAGGGTGTCAGCTCAGCTGGACCACACTGATGATTGCACTAGATGATCTTTAAGGTCTCTTCCAACCTTGGCAATTCTGGGATTCTGTGATACAGTCTTCAATTTCCTTATCTGGCAAGGCTACAAAACAGATTTATGATGTTTTGTTAAGGACTGTATTACCTGTCCTTGATGGTTAACTGTATTCTCAACTATCCTTGACAAACTAATAGTTTTACTTTTGCTAAGGTGGAGCTACCTATTGAATGAGAAGAGTGAAAGGTGTTCCAAAACACTACCACTATAGTTGATGACAGAAGGGTCTAGGGGAAGTTAGTGTGTGATATAATTAAATATATAGTAAGTGGAACAGTTCAGTTCATACAATCTTACATTTCCTAACTCTTAGGTATTTTGACTCTGCAAGTTCAATTCTTGGTTGTTGGTTAGGCTTTCCAAGTCCAGTAGCTCACCAAAGGGGAGGTTGCTGCAACTCTGTGCCCTCAGGTCCAGCTAATAGCCAGACTGGGCTTGTATTCACAATAGTCATGCCTGCAAACACCTTTATAGAACCCACACATAAACATAAGCACACAGCTGGCCCCAGAGACCAGCACAGACGTGAAGTCAGCACTAACAGAAACACAAACTGCACCATAGCCTCACTCTGTTCCCCTCTGGCTGTTCAGGGTGAAAAATTTGCTAGTGGGAATATATGTGTGTGCATGAACACCATATGGCTCTCCTCAGTGAGCATCTGGATCAGACACTCAGTCTGCCCAGTAGCTGCTCCCTGTATCCCAGCTGTTTGCACATGGACATAGGAGCCCTGAGGCTGCAACTCCACTCAGGCTGTGGAAATGGACCCACGTACAGACACTCAGCACACACATGGGGACACACTAAGGCCCATCCTCAGACTTAGTGTACCCAGTAGCTGGCCTGTATCCCTCCCTTTTCCTGCCCATGCTTCCTTCCTTAAGCATCTCGTGACACATTTTTGTGCAGTCCCAAGATACTCTTCTCCTGCATCCCATATTGTGTCCCATATCCCTAGGCAGTGACACCCCACAGTCTGGGAGGTGCTCCAGGCAACTGCTCCCCTATGGTGTTGGTTATTGTGCTTGGCCCATGGGGCTGAGGCTCCCCTGTGACAGCCTGGGGACCGTCTAGGGAGGGATCTCATTTCTCTGATGGCTTTATCGGTGTTCCCCCACCTGCCCTTGTGTCTTGGTGCTCCTTCCTGTGTGAGGAGATGGGTCTTTTTTGGGATGGTGGTTCCTCTGGTGGCTCCTGGAGTAGCCAGGGCAGAGAATTATTTAGGTTCGCCCACTTGCTGCTGTCTCTTTGTGTCTCCTTGCATGTGTGCAGATACAGATCACATAATTTAAGAGTCATCTCTGGCAATCTCACCACTAAATTCTGATTTCTCTAATATGCCAGAAAGGCAGCATTAGGCATACACAAAGGATGCACCTGTCGGAGAAACACTTTCCAGAGAGACTGACAACTCTGCCCACTCACAGATGGTAATGTAGGGAAAAATATTTATGTGGCCATAAAATTGACTTTTGCTGAAGGGAGGAGATTCAAATAGATAATTTAAATACAGTTATATACTTCTAGGAAATCCTCAGAATGCACTAGCAAAATATTTATTGTGGGCCTCACAGGTTCCACAAGGCATTCAGAAATGGAAAACTCTGAGCCATCATAAATTGCCCTGTGACAAATATAACTTCTAAACTACAGTGTAATGCCACTTTGGTAGCACTAAAAGTAGGGCATTATGTGACACTAAGTAATTGCCACCCATTAGGTGATTAATGAAATTAAATAATACAGTGTGGCAGAATAAAGAGCTGACTTTGATTCTTGGAGTGGGAGGACACTAGCAAAATCCCTACAGAATGGGCAAGGTGATATCTGTCTTTTTGATTTATCCATGTGATTTTATTTTGAGAGATAAATGATTTCCAAAATCAAAAGGAGAGGGAAAATGAGGGATTATGATTTGAGAATTTTCCAATGTGTGTTTTGGCTAATTTTAGAAATTATTAAAAGTTACAGAATTTAAAATCTGACAAGCTCTACTTATTTTCAAATGAGGAAATAGTCTCAATTTGCTCCTGTGTGAAGTGTGAGCGTATGATTCTTTCCATAAACCCAAGTGTGGGATTTTGTTTCCTGACATGTTTATCAAATTTAACATTTTGTTGCCTCCACCTGCTTACATTTCCAAAACTTTTTCATGGGCATCCTATATGGATCTGTTTTTAGGACAGCATTATTTATTCTGTCCTTCAAATTCATGTCCTGTTCCCTTTTAAATCCTTCCTTGTTTATTATTTCCTTTGCAGCCCTTA